ATGGTATAAAATTACCATTGGCTGCCATTGCTGAAGTGAAGTAAATCAATGGAGACACTAAAAACGAAAGCAGACTGTCACGAGTATTTCCATTTCTGTTAACAAGCTTTTCAGTGTTTCAAGACAGAACTAAATGTCTGCCAACTTTCAAACCTTTCTGCTTGTTGGTCTGAAAATTGTATTTTCTTCTTTTTATCATTACTAGCTAATATTTAAGCGTATTGGTTCTGGGCCAGACACCATACTGTGCTCACAACTTCATATAAATTACTGTTTTCTACATTTCACAACAATTCTGTGAGGTATAGTCTGACCATAACTTGCATTTTGTAATAAGTAAGTAAAGACTTAAAAGAGGCTGTGTAACTTGTAACCCTAAATGACAAAGTCTAGAGTTAAACACAAATAATTTCATTTCCCAAATCTTTTCACTTGGCCAGTACTCAACACTGATGGATGCTTTTTGATGGTTACTTGGTGAATCAGGAATGCAAGTTATAGTAATTAACCAAATAGCACTTTATTTTTTTCTCACCTAGCAAAAAGACTCCTGGTGTGGCCCAGTGTAATCACATCAAGTCTCTAAATGTGGAGGAAGGAGGGAGGCCCACCAGCCAGGGTCAGTGAGTGATGTGACAACCACTCAGCCAGTCCCTTAAGGGGGCCAGGAGCCCAGGAATGCAGGCGACCTTTAGAAACTGGAAAAGATTTATGAAAGGATTCTCCCCTCGATGGCCTACAAAATGTGCCCCTAGGCTGTTCAAACAATGATCTATTCTTGTATGTTTTTATGTACACCAAAAAACAACAAAAGTGGGAATAGAGGCAAATACTGTTAACTGATAGTGCACAGAGGGGATTGTAATCATTGCAATGAAACAAACTATGATTGGTTGAGTGCAAAACCAACATTCTGCCATGTAAACGATCACTCAAGTCACAATAAAACCTTTATAAGAAAAAAAAAAAATTCTCTCTTAGAGCCTGCAGGAAGGGAGGCAACCTGTTCACCTTGACTCACAGCCCAGCGAGTGCCAGGTCTGGACCATTGACAGGCAGGACTGTAAGATAATACATTTGTGATAGTTTGTTACAACACCGGTAGGAGACTCCTACGGAACTCATTTTGACATTGCTTCCTGAAATTCTTGCTTGGATTCTTTGTTCCTCTGTCTTTCCTGATGCCGGCAGACTTCATTCCAGGTAGACCATGGTTTTGAGAGGCAGGTTTATTGATTTAGTGATGGGCTGGGGAAACTACCCAAAAACACATACTCGGAAGCTGCCTGAACAGGACAGTGGAGGACGCGGGACGCCTGCTCCTGATGTGCAGACCCAACAACATCAGCTCACATGTGTAGCCTCCAAGTGAAAGAAGTGATTTGTGCATTTGCCAGTGGCTTTTCACGAAAATACGTCATAGATGTAAACGTACTGCTAAGTGCCATCAAGGCACTTTGACTCATGGTGAACCTGTATAGGATTTCCAAGGAACTGCTAGTGAATTTGAACCACCAACCTTGCGGTCCAGTGCATTCTCCCACAGCGCCACAAGAGACACATCATGGATGTAAACGTGGTATATAGAAAATCATTTTAATAGAGCAGTTTTGTGAAATAAAGGCCCCCTGTGAAAATTTGAATATGAAAAAAAAAAAAAAGAAAAGAGTGGAGAGGCAGATATCCACACTGGTTTTGGTAGTTCAGCAATTCCAGATCAGTGACTCTAAATCCTTGGCCTTTCCCTCCTGGCAGAAAAATGGCTGCTTGGTTTCAAACACCATGTCCATATTGAAGGCAACAAGAAGAGTGGGGGAGATATTTAACAGCAGCCTTCACTGTGTCTTTTATCCTAAAAGTAAAAGCATTTCCATTTATAGCATTTCCATTTGTTGGTCAAAATTGTTTCACATGGCCATCACATGGAAAACTGTAAGGGAAAAGGGCCAGTGGGCCAGCCTCGGGTACCATGTTACAGAATCCCCAACCTCTGGAGGAATCTTTCACTTCTTCTTTAACTGCGTCTCATTTTGTGTGCGTAAGAACTGTAATTCTCCATATAGCTAACTTCTAGTGTAGTCTTGGAGTCCTGATGTGGAGCTGTGGGTTAATGAGCCAGACTGCAAAGCCATATGAACTGCAAGGTCGGTGGTTCAAGCTCACCCACAGCTCCTTGGAAACCCTATACAGGGTCACTATGGGTTGGAACCGACTCGACGGCACTGAACAACAAATGTAGTCTTGGGAACACGGTTGGCTCCATATGATAAGCCCTGGACTGTGAACCACAAGGTTACAAGGTTAGAGCCCACCAACCACTCCGCAGGAGAAAGATGAGGCTTTCTGGACCCACTAAGATATAAAGCCTCAGAAACCCTATACAGGGTCGTTATGAGTCAAAATCAACTCCACAGCACTTAAAAACAACAACAACAACACAATATACTCTTGCCTTGTTTTCTAGAATGTGCTCCCAGATAATAAAGGTAATCTGTGGGTCCACTCATCTATACAGGACTCTGGTTGCAAGTAACAAAAACTTAAGAAACCAATGGAATTTCAGTCATTTATTTATTTATTTATTTTTTATTGAGCATTTATTATATATGTCAGGCAATCTACAAGGCTCTGGACATACATCAAATGAACAAAGCATTAAAAAATGTATATGAGACGGTGTGGGAATCTCATGGACCCCAATGATAGGAACATGCCAGGAGCTGAGAAGCTATCAGGAATCCTAACCGCTCCTCTCTGAGGATCTCCTGTGTTTAGCTCACTCTGCTTTCTCTGATTGTTAGTCTGTATGGTGGCTAGAATATGGTCACTGCACAGATCCCGAGTTTTCATCTGGCCAAACTTCATCTCTCATACTTCGGACATATTGTTAGAAGGGACCAGTCACTGAAGAAGGATATTGTGTTTGGTAAAGTGGAGGGTCAGAGAAAAGGAGGAAGACCCCCAGTGAGATGGATTGGCAAAGTGGCAGCATCAGTGGATTCAAGCGTGGCAACAGTAGTGAGGTTGGCCTAGGATCAAGCAGTGTTTCGTTCTGCTGTGCATAAGGTCGCTATGAGTCGGTACCAACTCAATGGCATCTAACAACAACAACAACAAAGTCAAACAACCAGCTTAAGCTAAACCAAAATATCTCAGTCCTGATCCCAAATTAACAAGCATAGAATTTTAATCAACTGAGTTCAGGATCAGTCTTACCTGTGGATCATAGATGTAGTTACAGGGGCCATTGAGTAAAAGGGATACTTCAAAAGGTATCTACCTCTGAAGACTTCCTCTTGTTACTGCATACCTCCAGGTTAAAGTCTGCCTTTATAGACACCTTGCTTACCACCCAGGCCAAAGCTCTCTTCTACCGCTCCAGAGGTTTAAAAATTAACTCCACCTTCGAGAGCACATTTGTTTGGCTTTGTAAGAATTGCCTGGGTTGAAGTTGATTTGAACTTTTAAAAAAATTCCTGTGCCTTATTTTATTTTAGGGATCCTGGCATAGTATTATAGGATAAGCACTGCACTGTCAACTGAAAGGTTGATGATTCAAACCCACCAGGTGCTCCTGAGAAACTCAGTACTACTGACTCAATGGCATTTAACAAGACCACTATTATATTTAAGGA